CTTAACCTTTTTTATCTTTGACCCTATATCTCCTCTCTGATTTCCTTTCTCACTTCCCTCATTTTCAGCCTTTCCTTTCGTTCTTAATCCGGCTAAAAACACTTATTTGGGCGAGCTCTGTAAGGCCATTTTTCCTTTTAACAGAAGTGCTGCCTGGGCTTCGTATTCTAAAATAACTTTTATGGGTCTTGGGGATGTTTGCAGGTACCGGACTGGGTCTGCTTTGTGTAGTCGGGAGGCATTTTGTGACAAACACTTCCCCATCCTTTAGGATGGCGGTGCGTATTCATGAAGGAGGTCTAAATCATGTGTCATCCGTCCCTTCGGAATTCAGGACGCGACCTCTGGAACACCCCTTATTACGATATTTTGCTTACAATTTACAGACGCGGCCCTTCTTGTTGCCGCTGCTATACTCCCGACGGATAATGGCGCACCGGCGTTAGACGAATTTTCGTCCGACGTTGGGGATGTAGAACTGAATTTTTCGTATGACGTACTTGCGTCGGCATAAGAACTTCCATATTTGTTGCCCTGATGCAATGTACTATACGAAGAGTTGTCGTGTTCTCTTCCATAAACGGACAATTTAATGCACTTTCCAGCTGACTTGGCTTTATGATGGAGTGGAGTGATAGCGTCCCCCTCCAAAAATAACGGAGAGTCCCTATTGTGTTTTAAAAACATCCTTTGGGCTTAACCCTGACTATCCCATTTTTGGCATTAGATGATTTGGTAGGTCTAGTTACCGTGGCAATTAATGAAAGCTGACTTAGTTTTGTTGCGTTCGCGTCGACCGTTCACCGAGATCTAAGGGTGCTGTAATGTGAGGGGTTGCCAAAGATAACTTTCTTAATCGGGCTGTGAATTCGAATTAACTTGCCTTGTCGTGTCCTGACTGGCTTTTCCCGCTAGTTGACATTAAGATATCTGGTAATACCAATAACCATCTCGCTGAATACCAATAACCTCATAGGTTCATCACTGAAGACTGAAGACCACCGCTACAGCAATTTCAAGTTAAAAAGGTACACAAAACTATGGGGTAAATGATTTTCAAACTACCCTCGCCAAGGTCGGAACGAGTGTAGCGACCCCCTTGGCATATTGTCTATTTCCACTTTGAAATGAAACTAGGCGTCGCCGATCCCTATTTGCCCATGAAGTTGACTGGACTGTTTGGAGGTAAGCTGTCTATCGATGAGGGGCTGAATCCAATGTCACGCCTTCAACAGAAGCTGCGTATGTAAAGTGCATGACAGACTGAAAACATCGGGCAGATTTAACGAGCAAAATCTAAGGAAAAATATTTCAACTTGGTGTGGTTGAGCTAAAGGTACTATAAGAGCAGACTAACATAATTTGATATGCCGGATCATAAATTCATCCTTTTTATATAAATAAGGATAGAATAAGTACTTAGCATGAGATTTTCCTCCAGAAAAACGGTGACGTATCAATTAAACCAATGTTAAGACTGTCTGAAGAATTGCCAAACAGCTTTTTGGACAAGCCACCTGGACAAACATAGGCGTATACAAATAGTTACACGCTAAATGAGCTTTCAATTATGAAAAATTATTTACGAACAGAGATTGCTTGTTACCCGGAATGTTTTCGTCACTCTACTTAAACTGCGGGATCATCCGGGGAAATTGACTGTCCCCACGCCAGTCCTCAGTTCCACCGAACACTTGTAAATGTGAAGACTGACAGTGAATTAGTTATGTCGTACAAAATATACAAAAATATTTGTCATGGGCAAGACCGACAAACAATTTTAAGAGACAGATAAAAAAACATATGACAACGATATGTACTTATGTGCAGAGCCCTTTCAACAAAATGCATGAAATTAAACTGACCGTGGCCCATATGCGACCTAACCTTAAAACTCTACCTGAAATGTGGTTAAATGAGTAGGTTGCAGACTCAGAAGTTAAGCTGGATGGATTTCGGCTTATACGGATGGATTGAAATGGACGTGGGGGTATGAGCACCGCGATGTTCATAACGGATGGCATTAACTACGTCACGGATGAGCCACTAGCAACACTGAACACCGGTTTCGAAATCCTAAACTACAAGCTAAAAGTACCAAACCAAACCAAACGGACCTCCATATTTCCCCCGTAACAGACTCCCACAGTGGCGGGACGACACAGACGACGCACTTATCCCGAAGTTTAAACAAACCGGCCGTAGCAAACACGTAATAATACATCGAGATTTCATTTCTTCAGACATCTTTTGAGAATCGATGCGCAGCATGTGATCAGAAGTTTCATTTGAACACAAATTTCTTCACTTAGTCACAGACAACTTCCTTACTCAACACGTTACCACGGACCCCAATTCCAAAGTGAACAGCAGTCAAGTTGTCTGGATCACATCGTTCCTAGGGATAAAACGTGTGCCTTTATACGGACTTCTAACACGCCTATGGGCCGAAGTGATCTTTGGGTTCTTGTTTGTAAGTATAGTCTCTTTTCTGTACCAGAAATTCAAACAGTAAAAAAGATAAATGTACGAGAAAGGGATCGTTCCAAAACGAAAGAAATGCTGAGTGAGAGAGTGGAGCCCTGCATATGTATCTGAATTAAGTGCCGCCTCAGCATTCTTTAAGAACTTGATTTTGTATTTGGTAGAGAACTGCTGCCAGCTTAGGGGGGATCATGCATCTCCCGGCCAGAGTGAGTGGCATCAGAAATAAAAGGAAAACCCAAAAAGAAAAGGAGATTATGGAGGATATATGCCACATGTCAACAGTCGAATACTTCTCTGAATTTAAGAAACAGTAAAATGGGCATTGAAAGCTCCTGGGGAAAGAACTAGCAGCGTTCGTGTAAAAAACACTCAAAGAGATACCTAGAGAATCGAAGAAGTTCTACGCATACGTAAGCAAGGTGAGAGCAATATCGGGACCCAATTCCTTGTCTGAAGATGTATAATGACAAAAGTGAACCGATAACTCAGATAAAGCGAAACCCCTATCCGACTTATTTACGTCCGTGTGTACCGAAGAGTCGCCTTTTAGTAAGGAATAACACCGGCAAATTGCCCCACCTAGAAAGATAATTAACACGGCTAGGTTCATAACGGACGCATTAAGAAATACTGTGGGACAGCTACAGCCCACTAAATCGTCTGATTCGGGTGGAATATCCGCAAAAGTTCTGAATGGACTCGCACACCAGCAAGCCTCTCCGATGTCCATGATCTTCGAAAGTTCCATGGAAGCAGGAGAAGCTGGTCAGCATATGTCCCATTATAGAGGGGGGGGGGAGCGAACCTTGCCAAATATCTTCACACAAGTGAGTCCCACAGGCATTTATTGCAAAGTAATGGAGAATATAATAAGGAGGAACTGGTGAGACATGCTGAGGAGAACAGCTTCATAGTGCAAATCGACATGGATTTAGAGGTGGTTGATCCTATCCCACTAACCTGTTCACACCAATAGAAAGCTGGACAAAAGATAGGTTTGTCAGTAGACGCAGTCTACACTGACTTTCACAGGGTGCCACACAAACTACTCATATTTAACCTCTGTCAAATGGATTTGACTGGCAACCCATTCAAGTGGTTGGTCAACATTCTTACAGGCCGACGCCAGCGTGTGCATTAGTGACTCCAAATCCAAGTGAGAAACCATTGACAACGGGGTTCCGCAGGCGTGGCGTCCTTGGGTGAGGAAGACCTTACTGTTTTGGAGAAGGTGCAATAAATGGCGACTAAATTAGTCGATGTGTTGAAGTACCTACCTTATGAGAAACAGCCGAAAGGGCTCAAGCTTCTCCCTCTCACTTATAGGCAATACAGTGGAGACATGGTCACGGTCTTTAACTCCTCAGAGGAGTAGACTGTGCACTTAAATTGACTAATATGTTTGAAGTAGCACCAACGAAAAATTTCCAAAGCCACCGATATAAATAAATATATATTGAAGACAGAGTACGCTAAGCTTGAAATGCGGGCCAACTTCTTCTTCCACCGGGTGACTGAAGAATGGAACAAACTGCCATTGGACGTGTGTAATATGCATGTCTAACAATAGCTTCGGTCGGTAATACTATAATTAGTACCTACTATAATGTCCTAGGCATTGTGGTTTGCTGCAAGGAAGACAATGATAAAAAACGTAATGGCAGTAAGATTGTTCTGCGGGAGTTTGGACAGATGCCGAGGACATCGCTCTAGTGTTTTGACCCAATAGGCCGTCGACATTTCACAGAAAATCCTCGTGGCTATGGGATATGTGCGGACATAATTAGTAAACTAGTGAGTTTTCTACAGCACAAGACCGTCTTTTTATACTTTTAAGACAAGGCGTTGCCTGACATATCAATCATAGTGGTTTAGGCGACGGTCTTTTAAAATTAGGCCAGTTATTTGCCGGATGTCACTCAAAAGTGCTGTCCATTCTGTTAAAACCCCAGGCCTGAACCAGTTTATCTTCTTTTTAACAAAGATATGGTAAAGATATCAACATGGATTGGACTTGGGAGAAGGCTCAAAATGAACCATACAAGTTCGTTCGCTGTATTCGAACTCCATGCCGCCAGTGAGAACGATAAGCTTTCAAACCAAACCCACGTAACAAAGTGTGACCGAAGTGGATTTAGCTCTTGTTTTTCACGCCCGTGCCATTTACTGCAACTCTTTTTCGGAATTAGGACGCGCCAGAGATAACATTTAAGTAAATACTACTTCCCGCGTGACATTCTTAGGTAAATGTTCCCATTCAAAAGAACGCACATAATACCTCCAGTTCCTACCTGCCCTTGTCTCTATTTGTACTGTAAACCTCACCGTGTTTCGTACAAATACCATCGAATTCCAGGTAACTATAGCAAGTGGAAGTTTCTATAATATCAGCAAGCTAATCGGGAACCCCAACTTCATATTTCCGGTGTGTTTAAATCAATCCTACCCCCTTCGCGCTATTACTTTCTAGTAGCGCAGACTTCGAGGTCGATATGTATTCTGGGCAGGGTATTATGTTTAATGATTTCCAGTTGGAGCAGCAGTCCTTCAGGGAACTCAATCGTCATGAAAAGAGCCTTGGTCTCCTTACCGAAAAGTTTGTTCAGCTATTGAAGGAGGCCCCCGACGGAATACTCGACTTAAAATTGGTAGGTTTCTTGTGAGGACTTACAGCTGGTAGGCTGCGGACTTTTTAGCTGTTAGGCAAAAACGTCGAATTTATGATATAACGAATGTTTTGGAAGGCATCGGACTCATTGAGAAACGCACCAAAAACAGTATTCAATGGAAGTAAGTTTGTTTGCACACCTGTTTGTTTCGCGTGGTTTATATTTTTATGCATTTCCTTGCATGGCACGTTTGCGTAAGATTCTCGGCTACTTTTAGTTTGTTTGAGTTAGAAAACAGCAAATCTATGTCATTGGTGGCTCTTGTAGCCACAGCTTTTTACTCGTGTTAAATCTCAGCAAAATTGTTCGAGATGCCTAAACCGATTCCCCGTATAATACTTCCGCTAGTTTTGTCTCCCTTAAAGTCTATCTGGTTTCAATTAAGTGATTTGAAATGCTCCGTTCGGATTTATTAACAGACCTGACTGGTGACGGTTATTCAAATAAGAGTCATTTGTCCATCTTGTGTGCGTCTTTACTGCTTTTTGCGCAGGATTAGTCAATTTGCATTTACACCCAAAGTAACCTGTTTTATTGTCATGAGGTGACTTATCCAAAGAATATGCAGCAGACAGATTTCAGACTGGGGCTTTGAGCTACCTTTATTATCTGTTGTGAAAACATCTTAGATGACTGGTTTTTCTTCTTCCGGCGACAGTCGTTTATCCGCGACTTCAAGGGACTTCCTTACAGTTTGCTCTCAGCATCCGATTTAGCTTGTTCTAAAGTCGAGATTTAAACGAATGCTATTGAAGATTGATTATAAGCTGTGTACAGAACACAGAATTTCCCATTATGCCCGCCAACTCTTCGGGGTCTATGGTCTACTTCTTGCTATGGACTTGAATACGTCTAATTGCTCCATGGATGACGGTGCTTTTCTCATAATCAACTGAACGGCGTGATGACAACTCTTGGTACCAAGAATGATGCATTTCGCCCGACCCAGGTATAATCTGACGTGGCGGGACAGAGCCAAGCCGACTAATGCTTGTTCATGTCGACATGCTGAGATTTTTCTAACTCGGATGTTGAAATAGTCTCGGCTCACCAAGCCCGGATTTGCACAGACAGCTGTGAAACCACTTACGTGGCCCGGTTTTTGAGCACTTGACTGCAACCACTGTGACCGAGGATTAACCACATCGTGGTCGGAAAGCCTTAGATGGAGTTATGCCATTCGGTGCACACCTTAGTCATGGAAATCCATCCTTGTACGTTGTGCGGCCGTGGTTATGCCTGATCAGGCTGGCCTCAATGATATCGCGGACCATACACCCACGTTTGACGATCAGCAGAAACGGATCTGGTAAGCTTCGCCCACGCCCCTTCAACGACGATCACCGAATACTGAAAGTCTAGAAACCACCCTTATGTTTTGGCAGACTGTACTGAGCCAGTTTTTGGGCTAAACGCCGTTGTTCCCAGGTGAGCTTCGACGCTGAATCAACAACAGCAACGGTAAGCTCATGGGACGGACGACGAAAAGACGTGCTAAAACCATATCGGTCTCTTTCTCAGATGGCCTAAGGCATCTGCGATGTTGCAGCAATTGCCGAGTAGTTCACTTGGTATAGTTCTCAGTCATCGCCCTCAGACGCGTCTCTCGTCACCAATGCACACACCCGAACATCAGAGTCATACAGGAAGACAAACCGAACTAGTGCCCGGTGCACGCGGATCGTTGTGCTGATGGAGATCACATCGGGCCAGTAGACACTTCGTGAAGATCGTGGTGACCCTGCAGTTAGCCCTGATACGACGGATATGTTCCCTACACCTCTCGAGATATTTGACAATTCCCACTACCAGAAGTTAGTGGTCATCAAACCTGGGGGTGGAGTGCATGTACTTGGATGGTATACCCGCTGAAATCTACAAGTCATGTTTCAGCACTGGCGCACTGACTCCATGGGGTGATTGAGCAAGCGTAGAGGGACGAGGTTGCTCCTGATGATGGGCTCGGACATCTTTGTACCTATCCTCAGGAAGGGAGATAAGACAAGATGCGAGAACCACCGCGGCATAAGCCCCGTCGACGTTACCGCGAATGTCTTCGCTATTGTCCTCAGGCGATTCCAGGCTGTGCGTGACTATAGGACGAGACCCAGCCAAGCTGGATTCCGTGTTGGATGTGGATGCACGAATCAGGTATTCACACTGAGACACGTTCTCGAATTCCGCCATAGCTACTAGCAACCAGCGCCGTCTGTTTTGTTGACTTTGTCGCCGCGTTCGATTCCGCCCATCGTGAGTCCCTGTGGCGGATAATGGCACTAGATGGCGTACCGCCAAAAATTATCGCCATGATCGAGGTCTATTACCGCTGCACTTCTGAGCGAGTTCTTGTCAATAACAATCTTTCGCAACCGTTCGGCATTTGATCTGGCGTTCGACGGGGTTGGATCGTGTTGCCCATTTTGTCCAACTACGCTATGGATCGGATTCTCGGGAGGGCTTCACACGAAGGTGACGGTGATGGGTTCCCATTCGGACACCGACTGACTGATCCTGAACTTGTCGGTGATATAGCCTTACGAGCTTCAAGTTTGGTAATCTTCAGTCTATGGTGTCACGGGTGAACAAGAAAGGGGAAACGGTCAGTTTATCCATAAACACTAGGAAGACCAAAGTGTTTTCAAGCTGCATCTCTGCCCAGGAGAAGGCACCTCTCGGGATTGGTGGCTGTCAACTTGAATAAGTAGACGGTTGTAATTGCCTCGGCGCGAGGCTGCTGCCTAATGGGCGAAGTAAGGACGAAATTGTCTCCCGAATTGATGCTGCCCAACTGGCTTTCTCAGGCCGTAAAAAATGCGTATAGATTCGAAGCGACGTCTCCATCGCCACCAAGATTCGCGTGTGTCGTGCATCAGTCCGATCGGTCCTTCTCAATGGCTGTGAATGCTGGTTTTTGCGTGTGGGGGACGAGCGAAAATTGAAAGCATTTGACCGCCACTGTTTAGGGACTATCGTTCGAGCGAAGTACAACGACTTCTCAAATGAGACCGTCTGCACTCGCTGCGACAACATCGCAAGGATAACTCCGACCATCCAAGAAAGACGGCTAAGATGGTTTGGGCACGTTCTGCGTTGTCAACCTCGGAAGCTCAGTGTTACTGCCCTCGATCGGGCACCGTTACTTCATTGGGGGCGTCGAAGAGGGGGTCAATTTAAAACCAGCCTTGACACATTTCATCGAGACATGGAAGTAGTTCTTGGACTTTCGGTATTCGATCTCCGTCGTTGGTGAAGAGAATGGGCCGAATTGTCCGGATCTGCTGTCGCGGATCTTACGTATGGAGAGGTGCTGTTCGAAATACCATCGAGGCCGGCTAGATCAGACATGATCGCAGCCGTACCAAGTACAAGTTGCGCTAGGTTAGGGATGCAACTCAAGAACACGTCTTGGGCTTCGTACCATTGGTGGATAAGTCGAGTTGTCTAACGACCTCATTCAGCCGTGATACTAAATTCTGCATGTTGTAATTTGTGAGCGTACTCGTTTTAGATGACATGATTGACTAAGCTACTGCGCTCGGAGAGGATGACATCAGAGCTGGTTTTATGAGAGCCAGCTTGCTATTTGTCACCTCTGTGCTGTATTTTTATGACATTGCAACTGCATAAATGGAGTTCTGACTATTTTGAAAAAGCCGGACCATGCACTACAAGACAAGGATAATCGTAGAAGTTATTACGTCAGTCCGATTTAGATTACGTGTTCTTACTTTCATCCTATTCATGATGCACCTCTTCTAACATGTTCTGTCTCACCTGAAAATAGGCACCGCGCTGACTCACGTCCTAAGAAAATATGCGCGCAAACGTAGTTGTCTAGTACCTCTCTGCAACGGTCCCCGCGGAAGTTGCACTGGGCAGAACGAGGAGAGGGAAATCAAGGTCACTTTCACACTAGGCTCAGGATGGGGAAAGAAGGAGTTCGGTAGATGCGGCGCAAGTCACCGTCCCTGCGCCCACCCACCTTCTGCGCGCACAGTGGACATCGTCCGATACGTCCGTCGAACCGTGACATCATATTGATCTTATTGTGCTCGCTCATTAAGATTGGCGCCAATCTTGGTGTTAGTTTGTTGGTGCCCGAACTAGAGTTACTGCAGCCCGACTCTCAGGCTGAAGGTTGACTGAATTATCCCGCCAGTTGATAGCCTTTTCAGCCGTGACTTCTGTAGTCTCAGAAGTTTAGAACGCCATATATATGTTGTAGCGACGAAACTAAGCGCTTGGTCACAGTCCGGCCTACCCCTCTTCCCTTCTTATGTCCCATTTGCATTTCCGATACCGGCCAACTGGACACTGCCCGCAGTGGCTGCTGCGACACCGAGCCGCCGCTAGCGCTCACCGCGCTTGTATTATACGAGTTATGATTCGACTGGACAGCGCGGCCCGCCCAACGTCTGATTAGAAACCTTTGCTTTCGTTTTAGGCTGGCGCAGGAAATGCTTTGCGTGCAGGCGGCCTTCACAGGGTAGTGAATGTCTCGAGTTATTGCATTTTTTAGGTTGTCGAGTTCGCCGACAAACGGCGGCGACGCTGTTTAATCCCACATTTCACGGTGGTTTAGATAGTCGGAACGCTAACCCTGCCTACCCGCTACTCTTGGAGGCGCCATATAACTAAGATAAAAAGATTTAACTACGTAATGGACGCAGTCTTCTCCCCCGCAAAGAGCTAGTGTAGTGCGCCAAACCTTTCGTCACCTGAGGCACCCACGCGGCCACCTATGGAAAGTCTTCACGCAGAGCTTAAAGCGCATGCTCTTGGACATTACTTTCAGCATATTGAGAGCTTGTCCCGCCTCGAAATAAAGCCACCACGACGTTTTCGTCGATTAATTAAGGTGGCTGCTGTTTATAAACTGATGCGACCATATCGTGAACGCAGTCCATAACCCATCAGTCTTTTTGGCAGTTACATTGTTAATAACCCAGGCTTGGCTTTAACTTGCTAAGCCGTACTCTCCAAACCCTTGCCACGCAGGGCCGCATCCGCAAGAACTGTTGTAAATCTAAGAAAACTGTTTCAAACATATGCCAAGTCCCTACTTAAATTTTCTTTCTTGGCATTCCCGAGATAATGGCTGATCGGGAGAGCCAGCTTGAGTCTTTAAATAAAAACGGTGGTTGTGTTCACTCATTCGTCGAGACCTCTATCAAGCATCGAAAGAGTGCTAACCGAAAGTTTAGCGACCCCAGCCCTAGCTTCTGATACGATTATATCCAAACAACTTAGGAGAATACTTAAAATCTTGCCTCTCGAGTCCTCAAGGTTCGGTATAACTAGTATGGCATCCAAAATGACATTTCGGCGTAGCCGCCGCAGAAGACCTGAGCATATCCCGCCCCGACCCACTTTCGGTCCCCACGTGTCTTATTGCTACTGTTCTCGTCGCCCATACGTTTATTGTAAATCGACTTGACATCACTTTATCCATATTTTAGAGGCGGAAGTGCAGCTACCAATGGCCCCGACATACAGGCCCGGCTGGATGAATTACAAGCTGAAGTAGAATATCTGGAGAATCTCGAGAAGAAGGTTGATGAGCACCGGTCAAAGGTCCTGCAATCCCTTCAAAACGTCCAGGAGGACTTGGATAATCGAAAGTACTCTTATGTCACTCATCAGGACCTGATGAACGTGTTCCATGACCGGACATTGCTGGTGATCCGGGCTCCCGAGGGCACTAACCTCGACACGCCAATCCCGAACAATCCCCTGGAGCAACCAGCACACTCACTTTTCGCACTTAAGAGATCATATAAAGTGAGTTCCGCCTGCGTGAATCGCCCACTCGAATAAAATGGTCTCATAGGCTTCGGGATGACGTCTCGAGCCTGCTGCATATAATATTCAGCTACTCTACTACTCGTTTGTTTGCAGATATCACTGCTTTTGGGATACTTTTGTGCGTCATTCTAGGGTCTGGCGCGAAGCGACACCTCAACCATACCGCAGGTAGAGACATCGTAACCACTGCCCTTGAGTAGATAGAACCTGTTACAATCCGTATTTCTAGGGATTAGCAACCACTTTCCATGAAGATTTGGAAACATAAACCAGTAAGACCCCGTCCGGAATCGATTGTGACCTAAGCGTTTCAGCCAGCGCCTGCCAAGAGTTGGAATTCTGGTGAATAGCCTGGTCATAGCTGCTCGTGGATTATACCTTGTTTTATCCTTCACAGATACATTTGAAAAGCCCGTCAACAGCTATAGAAGTTTTGCTTGTCAATCCTGATGATGGTGCGGAGAAGGCTCGCATTCTCCCTGTCGGTGTCTCTGGGTTCGATCTCAGTGGCGCACGCCGAACAGGACGGTCAGGTGAGACGATGACCGATTGTGCATCAACCAAACCTTTCATAATTGCCTTATTATGCGTTATTTCGTTTGGTAGACGAACATCCCGGGGCTTTGAACCCTCTGCTTCCCCTAAGTCCGCCGCCAATTGATCGGGATTTCCCGTACAATCTTGATGAGACAGAAGGCCTGTGCGACCTCTTTGATGTACCAACGCCCCAGAGATGTGCAGATAAGCCTTCACCAAACTAGGACATTACCGGACATTGCTTATTTTATATTTTTTGTGTCTATCTTTGTAAAAAAGTGAAACTGTGTACAATATCTGTTAAAGGGCACTTTTATTAAAGCGAAGTTTAATATATAACGGGAGGCTGTTGTGTAGGAAGGAGGTTAAATCGCATTTTCAATGTGACCCGCTGTTCCGAGAACTTGTCGTCTGGCGAATAGCGTGCCGGATGGGCACACTGGGTCGGCTTGCCTTCGGGGTCGACGTACTGAAATGAGTTAGGAAATCTAATATAGACCCACCGGCATCGGAAACAAAAGTGACATTTTAAGAGTTTTTCGCCACATAAGTCTTATCCAGAAGATAAGGCACCTTTTACGACTAGGTTTACACGTGGTTTACTTCTGATCGCGGAGTTTACCAGAGAAACCAGCCGAGAAACTGCGAACATGGTGTGTTACTACTCGTCGGCTGTTTGGATTCTAACGTATTTTGGGTCCGAATCGCAGCAGGAACCCGCTTAGATGGTGGTCCAGGGAACTGCAACGGGGAACTTACATATACGCACACGCGGAATATAAAGGCCAACAAATTCGGCCGTCCACGGGTTAGTTAAACGCGACTTGGTTGCAAGTAACGACGGCTCAGTTGCAATTGTCCTATGCTCCAAATTGTAGAAAGCGCCGGCAGAGGGCGCCACTATTTGGTCTAGCCGGAAACCTCAAGTCTTGCTGTGTCTTTGCCTAACACACCTGCAGGAAAAGGTTGTCTCTCGTGGGTGAATTCATTCCTGTACCACCAAGAGCCTTCTGAGCAGCATCCTCGTTTTGCACATTAAAAAGAGCGTTACCACCATCTGGTACGGACGAGTCACCGTGTTTAACTAATCTAGCGGCGTGGCTTGCCAAAACCTGGTCACGGGATAGCGATGACAAGAAATGGGCTGTGGCGCGATGAGGGTCTCGCTGTCCATTTTCGATCCCGACTAATTGGTCGGCTGCCGTTGTGTGAGCGTCGTAGCCACCTACTGCGGGGCCTTCGCTGAACTTATGAACTTCCCTTCACCTGCCGTACCGGTGGCAGATGAAGGAACGTGCACCCGCCTATGTGGGTGTTTGGACTACCGTAAGAAAGGTCGCAGTCTCCATGCGTTGGACGCTGGCAACTACCGGCCCGAAGGCTGTAGACTTCGAGTCGCTCAAACGTTGGTGCTCGGCCAGAGGGTACTGGACATATGACAATGGATATCTTAGTGGTAGGTAGCCCAGCGTCGTTGAATCATGGCTTCGGAGCCTCTCGACCCTGACGAACACAAGAGATCGCCTGTTTTGTTTGTCGGAGACAGGTTCTGGTGCTCCAATGTGGTAGAATCGGGCCACAGGACGGCAAAGGCCACCGAGGTTTTTCGCTGTTGCGAGGAACAGCATCCGTTAGAAGTCATGTGACTGTCCATTTAGTGCAGTTGGACCACTGCATACACAAAAAGCGCCTATTCTTCGTGTAATCTGTCTATTGCCCATTGTTTCCAATCATCCATGAGGTCTTCGCCACTAAACCGGGCAACCCACATGCGGACCAACAGTTAATACCTCAATCTTCCACATCTGAAGCCAACCGTTGTGGTCAGTGCGCGCATTGACGAAAAGGCGGCCTGCACGCCACTTTTGCGCCATGCGTCTCTATTCAAGTACTGGAACCAGTTAACATTATCGCGTAACCTACGTCCGTGAACCAGCTGACGAGTGTCAACGTTGAATAGGCCAGACGTTGGACAAATTTGCGCAAGACTGCACAAGACGAGATCGAGACTACCCTACCAAGAGTATGGTGATTGGTCAAAACGAAAACAGAGAACAAGAATAACCACCAGACAATTGACTACTGAATTTCCTAACAGGTATGTTTATGTCACATTGGAAATAGACAAAATTAGATGCGACACATCTGCCAATGTAGAGACGAACCAGACCGTTGGCCTAGTCGCCACGTACGCAGCGCGCTCCGTGGTGACAGCAGGACGGTTGGATTCAACACCCTCTGATAGCATTGTACTCGCTCAGGGCTAGCCCGGTCACGGGCTAGTGTTGCAATTGACTGGACTTTTTCAGCAATCCTAGCGGACTCCGTCCGCACGGGGACAGTACGTTTACGCACCTTCTCGGGCGAGTTGAGGGCGTTGTAGCCCGAGGCGATTTAAGTCGCCAGACAAGGGCAAAGTGCGTGCACGCACCCTGTATGCGTGCGTACGCGCAAAGGGACCCCTCAGGTGTGACGTGCAAAATACACTCGGGAGAGCATCAAGGATGGGGTGTAGCAGAAAAGCTCCTTCCCTCGCGCAGATCGAGCACTGTCAGCCAGTCAGGTTACTAGCCCTGCACTAGCCCGCAAGTCAAAGTGGCAAGCAAATGTCCAGCCCGGAGATTAAATGCTATCAGGAACAAGCGGGCACGCGTAGGACTCGTCACGGAGCACGACTATCCTGCTGTTGGCCACACGGTGGACACCGTCCGAATCGACGTCCTGACGGTCACATGTTTGAACAACACATATCTTAAGTTAAGATGGGCTGGGCCGATGGAATGCGTCTGATAATTACTTTAACCTAGGAGGCGCGAAAGCTCCGTGAGTCCAGTTATTAAAATGGGTGAGTGAGCGATGCCACAGGGTTTTGTAGGAAACATACATTAAACCCGACGGCACACCAATTCAAAAGAAAAGGTAGAGGGTAAATACCTTCATCGTGTAGACTCGCGTCCCATTACTGTCGAGGTAGTAGCGCAGCAGCATGACGGCAGCCAGAGATGCACACTCGCGTCAAATCCGACGCACCCGGATGAGTTAATTAAAACAAATAAAAATTTCGTAGAGTTCACCAGTGTTTTCCCGCCACAATAATATTTTTCCTCGATTTCTGCATGACTTGGATCAAAAACTCGATCCATGGGTTATTTAAAGAAATCAACAAGGAGAAATATTGAGCGGGACATCAGAAGGCAGTTGGAGGAAGACAACTGGAAAACGTTTCGGCAAACTGAAGGAGCTGGGATAAAGTTGAGGGAATTCCTAGGTAATATAGTACGCGCAGCACAACAAGTACGCAATTCGAGTGCCGAACAATAGTTTTGACATGTATTGCTAAGCAAAAAGTCTTCGAAAATAGCTTGATTACATGGGAGAGTACCACTTCTCTGATGAATAGAAACTGCATCATAGAAAACTAAGGGAGTGAGGAACTCACACCACTTGGTATCAAACTAAGCCTTTATATCGGCATATGATGACCACTTAGGAGGCTGGAAAGGACTGTGACGGGACTTGGCCTTGACTTACGCTGAATGACAGACACTGGATAACAAAACAGGCGTGCTGTCCGCCTGCGCGTGAACGACAGCGGCGTCGACATTGCGGGAATTCCATACGTTGCGCTGCAACCTGCCAATTGATGAAATCGATTTTTGTAATCGTGAGCATACGGGAGACATTGTCATATTGAAATCAGACAAGCTGACGGATGATGTGCCACGAAACACAAGGAAAGTTTTACTAACTTTGGCATCTCTGTTTGCACTCGTTTGGTTGATGGTCTTGCTTCGGCTTACCTGAGATTCTTATCTCTTTGAGAGTTTACACCTTGTTTTTGATGTCCAAATGCTATAATCAGTCCGCAGCTCTGAACAGCATCCTTTAGAGGGTGAATCTCACGGCAATTTCGGACGAAAATGGAAAGAATAGGATGTAATAGGCTTATTTTAGCGTCTCTTTGACATTAGAAATCTGCTTCTGGCGCAGGTAAAAAGATTAAAATAAACTCATCAACTTCGGCTGCAATTTAGCTTCATAGGTTACAGTAGTACACGAACTAGGAACGTGTTTTAAATGATAATTGCCCCCGAGTGAATCGTGAGCCAAAAATATTAGGAAAAAACGCCGGGTATTAGAATAAATGCTCTTATTTAAATCGTTTCGAGCCTTTGAATAGTCTGCACTTGTCATTGACGCCGAAGCAGGTTGATCGATCGAGGTTGGACTGGTTGCAAGGAGCCAAATGTGATATTGTCCCTTTTTGTCAAGGCATTACCAATTGAAATCTCTTCGCTACCGTTTTTTAAGGTGTTTCCGCTAGTTATTAGATTTGTCTAAAGTGATAGTTGAAAACGATTTCTCACTGTCATCATATACCTGTGCACTTTGGACGCCGGAGTTCCCAACAAGTAAAAAATTAACCAAAATTCCTCATTGGAGCAGATAACGTGATCAAAGTTTTTATGTTAGTCTTCTGTACAGGTAAGTCAGGTTCAGGTAAAATTTTGGTCTATGTACATTTCATTACACAGTAGGAGGCCACTCTTTGGACAGTCCAATTATGCTCACCATCATGTATCAGTTAAATGCGATGGAAACTGGAAACCTAAGTGGAAATGAGACTTCAGGAAGGGATGAGGACTCGCGTTACGGACATAGGACGATATATGAAGCCCTTTTGATGACTGGTGGAGTTTAACAAGACTTCGTACTCGTTCCCATTCAATTTATTCTCATTTTTCCGCCATGTTGTTGGGCGCCTACCATAAGTAGCGGCCAAGAATCGATATTAGTTACCGAACGGTCAGAAAATTACTCATCATACGTTGCCCGACATCATCCGACAGAGTGTCCAGCGCCAGCATCCATGACATGCAGCGGAATGTGGACCTCTTCGCTCCCGACTACTCCAGCTTCGATCTGACCATCGGGATGTAGAAGGGAGTGTTCATGCACAACCGGCGCCAAATGCTGACTAGACTGAACTCCGCATCAGTGTCAATGGAACTCGCCCTACAGCAGTGGAAAAATCTGTGTATTGTGAGAGTACGGTTTCAAAAAACGTCTGGATCGACGACGAGATTGAAAGTCCGATCTCTAAACTTAAACACGCTCTCGGCCGACTGAAGTTCTCCGTCTGGATCCGTACCGGCATCCTGCTTAAGACAAAATTGGAGATGTACAAGTTTTTTTGCCCTGGCGATTTTCTGGTACAAGGCGA